TTTTTTTTTTTTTCTTTTTCTTTTTCTTTTTTTTTTTTTTTCAACGCATTAAACAACGCTCGCTCAAACGCATTCGTTTATGCTCTCACAAATATTCGAATGAAACATGTGACGCGCCTGTGAGAACATCACGCTGCCTGTGTAAGATGTGTGTGATATAAATCGATAGTCTTGCTACAGTTCGTCTTATTCATTTTTATCCTAGGTCGGATAAAATATTAGAAAATCGTTCGAGAGAGAATGGCGTGGATGATATCGGACACAAATAGCATAATATATAATATTCGTATTGAAATCGGCGTATAGCGCGTAGAAAAAGTCAAGCATACAATTTTTTTTTTTTTTTTTTTTGTACGTTCGGATGTTGCTCGTATAAAAAGGCATACGAAGACACAAAACTGGCAGAATTCAAAGATTCTTATTATAAAAAAGATCGCCTCAATGAATCTCGATTAAGTATAAAAAGATATGTACGCGTGTGTATGTGTGTGTGTATGTGTGTATGCGCGTATGCGTGAACGTTCGAGCGTTTCGAATGAAAAAGCGAGTGCGATCGAGTCAAAAAGGACGCGAATTCGATTATTGTAATTCGATTACTCGATCTTTTTAATCCTGCTTAGATTCAATGTTCGAAAAATCGTCGATCAACCGCGATACGAATAATAATAAATCTATAACGATAAGATTCAACTATTTATACAATCGTACACCGCTGCTTCGTCGTTGGATGCAATGGAATGGAAAATCATCGTAAATCATTTCGATGATCGAATATTTCGCGCTAATTGCGATTTTATTTAATTTTAGAATGATAATCCTTTTTTTTTTTCTTTTTTTCTTTTTATTTATTATCCTAAAACGGAGATAGAGAAGAAAGACGCGCGGAGAAACACTCGTAACACGATTTATTTAAACTCGATCCCGATGATATTTTAATTTATTCGCTTCATCCTCTTGTATATTCCGTTTATAATATGTTTGTCGGGCGAAAAATCGTGTTTTCGATCGCGTCACTAGATCTGTCGTTTCGTTTCGTTAAACTTTCACGGTACGGAATGGAAGGAACGTTG